AAGGAAGAAGCTATTTTTAATGACATTCACCAAAATCTACACTACCAACATGGGCTGCCATTGATCCATATTTTCCCAGACATTTCCGCAATTTCCGCCCAGATGCCTGGACGCCCTTACATCCGGGAAATTATGGACGTCTAGCAACATTAGATTAGGGACGCGGGTGGCGCTGTGGGTTAAACCACAGAGCCTAGGATTTGCCAATCAGAAGGTCGGTGGTTCAAATCCTGGCAACAGGGTGAGCTCCCGTTGTTCGGTCCCTGCTCCTGCCAACCTAGCAGTTCGAAAGCATGTCAAAGTGCAAATAGATAAATAGGTACCGCTCCGGGGGGAAGGTAAACGGAGTTTCCGTGCGCTGCTCTGATTTGCCAGAAGCGGCTTAGTCATGCTGGCCACATGACCCGAAAGCTGTATGCCGGCTCCCTTGGCCAATAAAGCAAGATGAGCGCCGCAACCCCAGAGTTGGTCACGACTGGACCTAATGGCCAGGGGTCCCTTTACCTCTAGCAACATTAGATTGCGGCAATTTTCAGTTTAGGTTTGAAGACTGCAAGCCGTCAAGGGTCACTTACCTTGAATCCTTTGCTAGTTGAGGGTCACTTATGGTGCATTTGATAAGGGGGTAGGATTGGATGAGGAACTCCCAGGGTTCAAATAGCTGCTCACTGTTGGTTGCATTTATATCTCCCCTTTATTTGTTGGAATAAAGAAATGGCCTCCTCCTTCATTTTATCTTCATCACCAGCTTGCAAGGTAGGCTAGGTCAAGAGATAGTGATTGGCTCAAGGTCACCAATCAGCAAGGATTTGAATCTGGATCTCCTCAATCTGACACTCTAACCAGTACTTGGCACACGCTTTTTAAGCTGTTGTGCTCATGGGTGTCCTTGACAATTCACTGTCTCTCGATTTAGCCTACTTCCCCGGGTTGTTATGTGGCTAAAATGTCACCTTAGTAAACCATTTCACATCATGGCTGCCTGATGAGTGTATTTGTATAACAGACTTGCATTCCTACCCTTTAACATTTTGGTTGCTCATTTAAAACATCTTCCTGAAAGTATGATACAAATAGGATGAATAAAAGAAAACCCTTATTTGAACTTTGAACTAAAATGCCGATGAATTTTCAAGATGACTTTTCTTTTTAAAGAAATAATAATCACACTGATGGTGGAAATGTGAAGAACAGGTTTTAAGATGGGAAAAAATGAGAAATGGAGGGAAACTGAAATTGACAGGCTCAGTGATACCTCCTAACTCTGGATAAGGCTGACATTGGATACAACCTATGAGAGGTGGTCATGTGTTTTGCTCCACCCTCAAAATTCTCCCTCAGAAATTGAAAGACTTTATACTTTATTGTCACTTGTACAACTTGTATACAGTGGGATTACACGAGCACCCCCACTCAGTTGTCTTAGTCTTAATTCCCCTCATTTACTGACGCACGCACACCCGCCAAACCCGAAAGTCAGTTGCCCTGTTGTTATCTTTTCATTCAGTAGCCTAACAGCCCACGGATAGAAGCTGTTCTTTACCCTGTTGGTGTGACTAATCATGCTTCTATATCTTCTGCCCGAGGGCAGGAGATCAAGAAATTGCCGGCCAGGGTGTGTCTCATCCCTGAGAATTTTCCTCACTCTCCTGAGGCAACGTTCTTCCGCTATTTCATCCAGTGGATTCACGATACAGCCCATAATATCTTGTGCTGTATTCACCACCCTCTGTAGGCACTTCCTATCAGTTGATGTCAAACCAGTGCACCACACCGTGATGCAGTATGAAAGGACACTTTCTATTGCTGACCGGTAGAAGGAAATCATCAGATGTTGATTGACATCGTTCTTTTCGCAATACTCTGAGGAGATGGAGAAATGTGAAATGGGAAAGATGGAGAAATGGGAAAGAGGAGAGGCAATTTGGCTCCCTCTTTCATCTCTAAGGCCCTGTGGTCCACAATTTGAGCCAAACGTTGTCCTTGTTGAAAGTTTGGTCCTGCAGTGGGTTGCATGGCATTTGAGAGTGGAGGAGAATCTGAGGGGCTCATGGTGAACTCACAGAATTATAGAGTTGGAAGGGACCCTGGGAATCATATGGTCCAACCCCCTGCAATGCATGAACATGCAGCTGTCCTTTATCAGGATCAAACCTGCGACCTTGGTGTTATCAGCAACCAAGCTCTAACCAACCAAGCTATCCAGCTGATTTCAGGTGTTCTCGCTCTGAAACACCTCCCCACTTCCCTCAGTTGGGCAAATCAGCTATAAAACAGCTTGATAAACTGGGACAAATTCAGCATCAGTGGCAGATAGAACCCTTATTTGCTAGCATTGACAAGGGCATTCATTTTCATGGCCTTTCAGCCATTTTCCCTTGCCGAGGGAAGCGTTTCAGCATTCCAGACTCATTTTAAATATAGCCTTTATCCTTAAATAGGTAGTTAATTGGCATGTCCAATTACTGAACATAAAAACCTCACTAAGTAACCAAAGGTCAGCGAGATAAAGACGAGTGATCCTGTAAAGACCTTGGCATGAGGGGAAAGTGTTAAGAATATCATTTAAAATGCCACCCATTTTTTGAGTAAGACATAATTATAGCTATAATGAATTGGCGCCCAGGCACCTTAGTGATTTGCGTCGAATACAGATCACTCATACATCTCTTTCTTTGACAAGGTTGGCGGCACATTTTACTTTCCGCATAGGAACTGAGAAGAAGGTTGAAAAACAGAGAGGACAGCTACCGTAAAAATAAAACCATGCTAACATTACCAGCAGGTGAGAGCAACCCTTTTGGCAAGTGTGATATGGGACAGAACGGGGCAACAATGAAATTGCTACCCTCCTAAATTGGAATCCCGTAGTGACTCAGATGTAGATTAGAACTTGCTTATGCAGGTCATTCCAAGAGGGCCGACTTGCCCATGAAGTATGATGAGGCAGTTGCCTCAGGGCAACAGGCCGCGGACAGCTGGGAGCGGTGGCAGATCCAGCCTCCGAGCCATGCACTGCTCACTATCTCCTGCCCTTGTTAGCTGTCCCCACCACTTCTTTCTACCCTACTTCTGCCTGCTTCTGCCTGCCCATTGGTTCCCTGCCACCCAGAGGGGGTAGCAGCAGCAGAGGGGCTATGGAGGAGTGGGTCATGGTGGCTGGGTGTGTTTGTGTAGCATTTTCTTTCCTTTTTTCAAAATCATGTTTTCCCTGAAAGTTTCCCACTTAAAATACAACAAAAGCCCAACTAATCTGAAGAAGAAAGATAGGGAAGAAAGCGGGAAAGAGGAAAAGAATAAAAGAAAGATGAAGGCAAAGGCAGAAAAGAATATAGTAATACAGTGGACGCTTGGGTTGCGAACGTGATCCGTGCGGCAGGAACGTTCGCAACCTGCAGCGTTCACAACCTGCAGTGTTCGCAACCCACAGCGCCGTGTCTGTGCATGCACGGGTTGCGATTCGGCACTTCTGCGCATGTGCAAAGCACGATTTAGCGCTTCTGCGCATGCGTGACCACCAAAACCGGGAAGTAACCCGTTCTGGTACTTCCGGGTTTTGGCGCATCTGTAACCCGAAAAAACCCACAACCTGAAGCGTCTGTAACCTGAGACATGACTGTACCAAGCTCTTTGTATCTTTATTCTGCACAAAGAAGAAGAAGAAGAAGAAGAAGAAGAAGAAGAAGAAGAAGAAGAAGAGGAGGAGGAGGAGGAGTTTGGATTTGATATCCCGCTTTATCACTACCCGAAGGAGTCTCAAAGCGGCTAACATTCTCCTTTCCCTTCCTCCCCCACAACAAACACTCTGTGAGGTGAGTGGGGCTGAGAGACTTCAAAGAAGTGTGATTGGCCGAAGGTCACCCAGCAGCTGCATGTGGAGGAGCGGAGACGCGAACCTGGTTCCCCAGATTACGAGACTACCGCTCTTAACCACTACACCACACTGAACTTGCCTAGCTCTTACCTGGGAGCCTTGTCCCTTTCCCTCAGCCTCCTACCCTAAGGGATCCTCTCTACCCTGTCTCTCACACAGGGCCTTCTGTCCATCACCTTCCTGTGTGTATCCTCCTTTATCCATTTTCTGTTTTTCCTTGATCCTCAAAGCATCCTGGGCCAGTCCCAGGGGCAGTGCATCCTGTTTTGCTGTTTGAGGTAAAAGATGCCAACCTGCCCTGCCGCTGCTCATGCCACCACCTCCATGGGAGACAGAGAAAGGGACCTTCTGATTGGCAAGCCCAAGAGGCTCAGTGGTTTAGATCACAGTGGCACCCGCATCCCCAGACCAACACAACACAGCCTAAGTGAAAGGTCTTTGTACGTATACCATAATTTAGGAAAACCATGGCAAACATATCCCTGCAGCTCTCAGACTTTAGCACCAGGTGGCACAGCTAGCCCACAATAACTAACTTAAGCATGAGAGTATTGGTGTTGCTGTGACAGCGCTCAGTTCTGGGGAAACTGAATGCACAAATGGGAGTGAGGGATATCCGTCAGCCCTTTTGCTCAGCCAAAGTCCTTGTATTTCCACCTTAGTTTCAAAAGGAATGTAACTCTTTTCCTTAAATAACTTCCATGAAGGCAGGCAGGGAGTGTGCACCACCATATACTATGATGGGTGAAAGTTACATGTGTCTATTTTGCTGCAATTTAATGAGCTGGGAAGTTGGAACACAGGGCAAATGCCAAGCCAGTGTCACCGTGGCAAAAAGACACAGCATGAGATGATCCAGTCCGTCTGTGGATCCCTCTATTTGAATACACTGCTCTGTTCACACGCATCACAATAACATCAATTTTCCTGTTACAGTAAATGAGGTCAGGGCACCGCAGCAGACAAATCAAAGTCTCTGTGTTGTGGACCAATGTTCTGGAACCCCCCCCACACACCTGTAAAGAGCCTTAAAGGATGTGGTTCTCCCACAAGGTTCCCATTTAGGCCTTGCAGTGTCTCTGCCAATGAAATTTAAGAGATTGGTATCCCCAAACTTCCTTCACCCCCATGGACCACTTGAGGACTGCTGAGGATCTTGGCAGGTCGCTTAACAATTTATGTGCCCGTGGTAACCATCGTTTCTTTTTAATCGTTTCTTTTATTTCTTATAATACTGTACAGTGGTACAACGGGTTAAGAACTTAATTTGTTCTGGAGGTCTGTTCTTAACCTGAAACTGTTCTTAACCTGAAGCATCACTTTAGCTAATGGGGCCTCCTGCTGCCACCATGCGATTTCTGTTCTCATCCTGAAGCAAAGTTCTTAACCCGAGGTAATATTTCTGGGTTAGCAGAGTCTGTAACCTGAAGCGTATGTAACCCCAGGTACCACTGTATTGTGTTCCAATGCCATCAAATTCAAATTGTAATGAAATAATAGAAGAAACAACATCGGCCATAAAAATACAATTAAAAACCAATAGGAACATTTAATCTGATGGATGTTTTCAACCACAAATCTACAGACCGACCCTGAACCATCCGTATGAAGCTTGCAGAGTCCTCCTGTGGGCCACAGTTTGGGAATCTCTGTAATAGAGTAAAAGTATTTGCACCGAGGCAAGGAAAAAGATGCTAGGAATGGGGAGAAGAATCCAAGTAGGATCTGGGGAACTGACCCCATTAGCACAGCCTTGAATTTTGTCAATAGCACACTTTTGTTAATCGAACCTTTCCTAATGGGGAAGGTAATTTTTCCAAATTCTCAGATTTCTTCTGCGTTCTTCTGATCATGCTCTCTTCCTCTCTTGAACCCGGGTGATTTCCCAGTTACTTAATGGGGCCTATTGAGAGCCCACCTTTCTCTCATTTCTGCCATGTCAATACTTGCTTATACCCCAGTAATGCTTTTGTCTCCCAGGTCTATGCACATCACTTTCAAACCACCCTTGTTGCAATGTATTCCCTTGTCTTCCAGATCAGTGAAATAAATAATGCACAGAGAGGAAGTTTAGGTTGGCTGAAACAATTTGTTGCCGTTATCAAAAGGCTCCAACTCTAAATCACCCGCAAGCTGTTTATTGCCTTGTTCCATCTCTTAATTATACAAAACCTCAGCAGTTTATTTAGTTTTTAATTAGCATAATCCAAGTACAGGGTTCATTCTGGGCAAGGACACGAGGCTATTGAGTATCTGTCCTTTATGCCACAGGGTCAAGAATCATTTCTGTGCTGTGCTTATTAATATATGTTCATAGGAATGGCACTGAAAATCTATCATTAATATTGATCTTGATTTTCAAGCAGTCAATGGTCATTGATGCAGGCAGATAAATTACTGGAATGAATTTTGCAATTGCTTGCTAAGGCTATTCATATTGATAGATGCACTATTGAGCAACTTTTCCTTTCTCCTTTTCGAAATACTAACCATGCCGATAGACATGTGGATGACTATGTGTGGGAACAGGTACGCAAATCATTTTTTCCTAAGTTCTCACAGAGTGAGAGAGAGATATATACACCGCAGCAGGTCCTTTTTTCAGACTCTGCTGGAGAACTGGGAGGTTCCTTGGAAGCTTCTCAGGGTTACATTGGTGAGGAAGTGGTTAGGAACACAACCTTTTCTAAAGATAGTTTGTCTACCCCTTGCTATCCAGCTTCCCTTCTGTGAGACCTGTGTGGTACAGTCTCATAAGAAGGGCTGTGACCATAGGCACCAAGTTGCCCCTGTGACTGAGGGGACCCTGCCGCATGTGTGTGACATCACATCCTCTAGAGGAGGCCCAGCACTCTAGTAGAGCTGGGTGCTAAAGCTGCAATGCGCACTACACAGGGCCCCTTCAAACAAAAATCAAATAGAGTTGGCACACCTGACAAGCAGAAGGCCCCAGATTCCATCCCTGGTACCTTCAGTCATGTCCCCTGCCTTAAATCTTGGGAAACTGAAACAGGCCTCGCCTTTGCCCCATATGAACTGAAGGTGTGTACTAGAACAATTGTCTTCTTCAACTATGAATCAGGACCCACAAGTAGGTTGCAGCTTGACCTCAGATGAGGCACCCCAGGAGCACCATAGCATTTATTATCTCTTTCTCTCTATTTTTCTTTTTTAAGTAGAAAGAGCAGGGCAGAAGGAGACCATACCCTCCAACATTTTGCCGATGAAAATAGGAGAATAATGATAATTTTACTATTTATACCCCAAGCATCTTGCTGGGTTGCCCCAGCCACTCTGGGCAGCTTCCAACATATATAAAGACACAATTAATCATTAACCATTAAATAAAACTTCCCCAAACAGGATTGCCTTCAGATGGTTTGGGGGTCGGATAACTCCATACCCTCCAACATTTCTCCAATGAAAAGTGGGACATCCTAAGGAAAAGTGGGACATTCCAGGATCAAATTAGAAACTGGGACAGCTTCTGTAAATCAGGGACGTCCCTGGAAAACAGGGACTTGGAGAGTCTGGGAGACAGAGAATGAAAATGTGTCTTCACTTCAAATTTATACCTATTTTGTTGTACAATGGCTTCCTTGAAACAAATGAAGCCTGTAAGCTGAGTTGTGGGTGCTAAGAATTCAAAAATTTTGGAATTAAAGTGCCATCTTAAACACATCTACTAATAGGTTCAGTGGGGCTTGCTTTCAGGTAAGTGAGAATGGGCTGCTAAACCTTCACAGTGTAGAAGAGGTTTGCTGAAGTCAGAGAACCATTGTGCCATAGCAACTTGCCAGGCCCTCAGAAATTTAGTATGATATCCATCCAGTAGCCCCTTTCCTCTCTCTCACTTGGTGGCAGCAAAATCCTTATTTTTACCAACCTCTGCATGCATGGGAAAGAGAGAAGCAGTGGTTCTCAAAATGCTTGACGTCTCTGTTCAGGCATACAAAGCTCTGCAGACAGAAAACATTGGGAGAGATAGTAGTCTACAGTATTTGACAACTCAACTAAAATATTCTAGACGTGAGTAAGGCTAAAACCCAGGCAGTATATGAGGATTTTAGACCAAGGACTTTCAGTATTTTGGACTCTCAGTACAAAATATGAAAATCTTTGGAATGGAATGCAATACTGGAGAATTGCAAACATGTCCCACTCCCAGGATGTACAGAGGGCAGCGTTTAGTTTTGTAAGTCTCAAATTTTATATAGCAGCTAGGCAACTGAGAATATCAGCATGGTTTCTGCAAAGGTAAAGTAAAGGTAAAGGGACCCCTGACCATTAGGTCCAGTCATGACTGACTCTGGGGTTGCGGCACTCATCTCGCTTTATTGGCTAAGGGAGCCGGTGTACAGCATCCGGGTCATTTGGCCAGCATGACTAAGCCGCTTCTGGCAAACCAGAGCAGGGCACGGAAACGCCGTTTACCTTCCCTCCGGAGCGGTACCTATTTATCTACTTGCACTTTGACGTGCTTTCGAACTGCTAGGTTGGCAGGAGCAGGGACCGAGCAACAGGAGCTCACCCTGTCACGGGGATTCGAACTGCCGACCTTCTGATCAGCAAGTCCTAGGCTCTGTGGTTTAACCCACAGTGCCACCCGCATCCCCTCTGCAAAGGTAAGTCCTGTCTATGTCACCTGTTAGAGTTCATTGAGAATAAGCATGTGGATGGGCTGGGGTGGGGAGTAGCCATTGTACACTTAGACTTTCAAAAATGTTTGGTGATCTTCCTTACCAAAGACTCCCAATTAAGTTTGGCAATCACAGATAGATCCTCTTAAGGATCAGTAACTGGTAAAGAACAGGAAGAAATGGACAATTCTCATAATGGTGGGATGGAGTCCCACAGGAGCTGAATTGGAACCTGTGCTCTTTAACTCATTCATAAATGTTCTGGCATTAATGTGAGCAGTGAGATGGCAAGGTTTAGCACTGAAGCTCAATTATTCAGGGTAGTTTTAAAAATGGCATTATGAGGAGCTCAAGAATGGTTTTCTCCAAACGGGGTGAATGGACATTTAAATGACCAATGCAGCTCAGTGTAAGCTGGTGCAAAGTGATGAACATTGGGGCAAAAAGTCCTACCTTCATATATATGCCATTGTGAACTGAATTGGTGGTGATTGACCAGGAAAGAAATCTTGGACTTATGGTGGATAACTTGATGAAAAGGTTGACCCAGGGTGCAGCAGCTATGAAAAAGGCCGATTCCGTGTCAAGGATCATTAGGAAATGGATTGAAAGTAAATCTGCCAATATCAAAATGCTATTATACAAATCTATGGAGGGACCACCTTTGAACTACAGTGCACATTTCTGGTCACCACACCTTAAAAGGGAGATTGCAGAGCTAGAAAAGGTTCAGGCAAGGTCAAGCAAATTGATCAACGGGCTGGAGCAACTCCATAGGAGGAAAGATTGCATTGGTTGATGTTTTTAAGTTTAGAAAAAAGGTATGTAATGGGGGACATGATAGAGGTGAACAAAATTATGTGTGGTGTAGAGAAAGAGGATTTTTCTCCCTCTCTTATAGTACCAGAACCAGGCGTCATTCAACAAGAATGAATTTTGGAAGAATCAAGATAGACAAAAGATAGAACACACAGTGCACAGTTAAACTATGGAATTCACAATCACAAGATGTAATAATGTCACTGGCTTAAATGTATTTAAAAGATAATAATACCAATTCATGGAGGATAAAGTTGTCATCATAATGGCTATGTTGCCTCCATTATTAAAGGTAGTATGGATACAACTTGCTGGGGACATGAGAGGGAGAGTGCTTTTGCATTGAGGAACTGTTTGTGGGCTTTCCACAGGCATCTGGTTGGCCACCATGAGAACAGGTTGCTGTGGTAAACTGGCCTTTAGTCCAATCCAGCAGGGCTCCTCTTACAATCTCATGTTAATCCAAACCTTGGTTTGACACCATCTTCATGAAGTCCAATTAGGGCTCTCCCTACTTCCCTTAGTTATCTGTCTGCTCCCAGTTCAATTTTGATTCCTCTGCTACAGCCCTTGAACCAGAAGCCCTGTGAGTCAGGCAGTGGTTCCATGCACCATGCGGATGGTTGGAGGAGGAGACAGCTAGTCATTCAAAGTCACGTATCATGGCTGGGTTATAGGCAGTTGTCCAAGACAGTTCAGGAGCTAGAAAGCAAGAGTTTAGCAAGGGAGTGAACAATGAAGAGCAAAAGGAATCAGAGCTGAGGAGTAAGTTGAAGTTGTGGGACAAGCAGGAGCCACTGTTGAAGATCAAACCAGAAGTCAGGGGCAAAACAATGTACACTCAGGAGAGCTAAATAAGACCTAGGTCCCAGGCAACCAAGCCTGTTTATAGTCCTTCCTGCCCAGGAAGGTCCCATGGCCAGCTTGCAGGTCATAACTGTTGAGGCAATTGCTGCTCCAATCTTCAGTTCTGTGGCTTTCCATATGGGGAGCCACACACAGGTCCAAAACAACCTATAGTTACAATCCTAGCAGTTCCTGAAACCATCACTGAAGCCTAGAATCTTCTTAGTCCTAGGAATCAGGTCATCCCAGATAAATGACAAGCACCTGCCACACCAGGTGCACTTCAATATTCTGGACCCAATTTTGCTGAGGGAGGCCACCAGACTCCCAGGTATTGGCCAGACAGCCCTAAAATCTAAATGCATATCATTGAACCCAGTGCCCCACATCAGGGTCAGCAAAAGAAAGTAGGAAGAATGCAGCTCCTCCTCCTTGTCTTTGCTTGCCTTCAAACCTCTGTCATTCTTTTGTCCTCACCATTTTGGAACCAGCTGATTTTCTTAATGTCCTTAAAATATTTCTGTTGTTGTTGTTGTTGTTTTTTTTACTGTTTTTCTGTTTGTTGCCCTGGGCTCCAATCCTCTCTTGTTGTCTCTCTACCTTCTGCATAATCTGTCCTCACATTACAGGACCGGATCCTCTTTCCTCTGTGCCTTGGACCAGCTCCTACTTTGCCTTCTGCTTGGACCTCATTCCATCCTGCACCTGCCAAATCTCTCTTCTGGCTGGCGTTCTGCAAAGATCCTGAGAGGCTGCCCGCATTCTGGGCTCTCTGGCCCCGTTCCTGACAATTCTACACTTTAATTACAAAAAATGCATGATCTGATATTAAGCAAAGTGAGTCCTGTCAAATTAGTCATTCAGACAAATGTTTCCATTTTGTGGGATGACTCAACAACTTGTTGGAGAGGGGAAAAAAAATCTTCATTTACATAACTATAAGTCCTACCACAGCTTAATCATCCCTTTTGTCTGAACACATTCCATTTTTTGAATATTTGCATTTCATTGGCCACCTGCCATTTGTTTAAAGGGTAGGATGTAATTAGAAGCACTGGCAGTTCAGTGGTACATTTTTTTTAATGGCTCAAATGCAGTTTGGGTGTCATTACAGTATTTGGTGCAATGCTATATACTATTGGAATGTCCCTGCTACTCAGAAATGTAATTGAAAATGTGGATAAATTGAAAAGGCCTCTTTCATCTTGGTGCCGTGATGCATTTTGCTTAACACGCATGCCACAAAAATGCAACGTTTGAGGGCAGAGTGCTGTGCTCACCATAACTCTGATGCAGTGTTCGAAACTCCCATTGTTCTAGGTGCATTATGCGACAGGAGATCTCATCTCTGAGCTCTGAGAGCAGGACTGCACCTAAGATTTCAGATTAAAACTACAGAGTGGAAGGAAAGGAGGACCTTTTTCTGCCTCCCCACTGCCAGCTGCTTTTTGAAGTCTGGAGAAGAGACCCTCTTAAGAATATTAGGGGGTTGGGCAGGGGAAGGGCTAGATCATGTGAGAAATGAACACAGTATTTTAGCTGCAGTTCATTCATTTTCAGCTTTGTATTCTTGTTATTCAAAAAACATTCTCTTGTTGCACCGATAACCTTGGTTTAAGGTGCCATTTAGCTCTTAGCTTTCATACCTCAGTTTCTAACACTGCTCCGATGTTGCCCTGTGGTTCTTCGCCCACTTCAAAGCAAATGGCTTTCTCGAACCAAGCCTTCCAGCTCACAGGCTTACCCATCGGGAGAGGGCTGTTTTGTACAAAGTCATGGCTGAAAGCTCTAAACTGTGAGGTGAAAGATGGGCACTGTATCTTGTGTGCTCCTCTCTACTGCTGCTTCAGGCAGCCTAGTGTTACCAAGAAGTAAGCAAGTGACTATGGTGGCAGCTGGGTAGCACTGAAGAAGGGGGCCTATGCAGGTGACTGTAGCAGCCAATGGAAAGGATAGCCACTGCTATAGTCATCTCAAGGCTTCTGACAACATAGAGGCTTTGCTTAGGGCTGCTTTGTGAATCAACCCAAAAGCTACTTCTCTCTTTTTGGCACATCGCTTTCACATATGCTCCAACATTTCTCTGATGAAAATAGGGACGTCCCATTCCGCAGTGATAATTTTATTATTTGTACCCCACACATCTTACTAGGTTACCTCAGTCACTCTTGTTGTTGTTGTTTAGTCGTTTAGACATGTCTGACTCTTTGTGACCCCATGGACCAGAGCACGCCAGGCACTCCTGTCTTCCACTGCCTCCCGCAGTTTGGTCAAACTCATGTTGGTAGCTTCGAGAACACTGTCCAACCATCTCGTCCTCTGTTGTCCCCTTCTCCTTGTGCCCTCCATCTTTCCCAACATCAGGGTCTTTTCCAGGGAGTCTTCTCTTCTCATGAGGTGGCCAAAGTATTGGAGCCTCAGCTTTAGGATCTGTCCTTCCAGTGAGCACTCAGGACTGATTTCCTTCAGAGTGGATAGGTTTGATCTTCTTGCAGTCCATGGGACTCTCAAGAGTCTCCTCCAGCACCATAATTCAAAAGCATCAATTCTTCGGCTATCAGCCTTCTTTATGGTCCAGTTCTCACTTCCATACATCACTACTGGGAAAACCATAGTCAGTCGCTCTAGGCAGCTTCCAACAGCAGGTGAGCTGCTTCTGCTTACTTGGAGGAAGAAAGGGAGGGATGAAACAGATGGGAGGGCAGCATGGTGCAAATGCACTGGTGGGCTCAGCCAGTGTGTTTGCACTGATCCGACCTGGCCCAGCCTCACCATTTCCATTAAGTAGCAGCTTCTCACCTTCTGGGAAGTCAGTTAAGCATCTCTGCCCCACATCTCTGCCCTCTAATGCTGCTCAGGATCTTTATGCAGGTTTCTCTCACCTTGTCCAATGATGGAAAATTTTCTAAAGTCAGGGGGATTCAGATGACCTACTGAAGAGCCATTCATTCTCTAAGATGGTCAATTTTTTTCAAGGCAAGCTTCTTTCCTGTTGTGAAAATTGTACATGTACAAGTAATGAGGACGAAAATTAGATAGCAGCAGCCAAAATTGGATAATAGCAACATCCCCTCTCACCATAAACTCTGAACAGGTCATAACCCTTCATGCAAAAACGAATTCTCCTCCTCCTTCTGCAATGCAAAATTGTAACAGGGATCTGCTTGATTGTCAAGAAAGCATTGGCTGAGAAATGAACATGTCAGGTCAGAGCGGCAAAGGGCAAACACAATCCCTATTCTTTTTATAACATATGGCAAATGTTTATTGACTATACAAATTCTTTAGAGTGGGGCAGGAGTCCACCCAACACTCGCGGAAAAATGTGGTGTGATCTTTTAGAGTAATTAAATGAAACTTTATTACATAGCATGACAAAAGTCTGTAAATTTATTGGGAGTTCCGAGGAGGGTCAGATGGGCAGGGAATAATAATAATAATAATAATAATAATAATAATAATAATAAAGATTGTGATGATAATAATTGTTGTTCTTCTTGTCTTTCATTTCTTCTTTCTTTCTTTCTTTCTTTCTTTCTTTCTTTCTTTCTTTCCTTCCTTCCTTCCTTCCTTCCTTCCTTCCTTCCTTTTCCCCATTTTCATTTTGTTGCATCAAAAAAGCTTCAATAAAAAATTGTGCAAAAAACAGCAAAAGTCTGTAATTTTATCAGGATAAGTTTTTTGTTTTGTTTTCTGCTGTAACAATTGTTCTATCAAAATGTATCTTCTGTGACATGAAAAATAAATGAAAGCATTATAAAAAAGAAAAGAATAGGAATGATATTTAATATATGAGATGCTCATACCATGTGCTTATCTTGCAATAGAATGTGCTGTGTTTTTATATTGTGATTTTATCTTGTGAACCACCCTGAGACCTGCAGGTACAGACTGGTATACAAATAATAATAATAATAATACTCCCCAAATCCTGGACTTCAGATCCTGCCCTGCCATTTGAGAAAATAGCCAATGGTAGCAACATCTTTGGGGAGGGCTCCATTATAGGGAAACTCAAGGTCAATTTATTTGTTATATTTTTGACCCCGTAAGTTGATAAACATCTGTTCACATTGCCTTGGGCTAGATGCTCCAGGATTACCTGGAGGAAACCCACTGAACAGAGTGGGATGTATTTCTGAGTAAGCATATCTAGGGTTGTGCTGTCAACCTCAGTTTTTTTTAAAAAAAGATATTTATTAAGGTTTCCAAAAAGAAGTTACATATATAAGAAAAAGAAAAATAGAGAAAAGAAAAAATACAAAATACAGAAAAAATAAAAGAAACTTAAAAAACAAATCAATCTTTCCATACCTTACATTTCATTTACTTGTTTCCCTGACCTCCTCACGCCTCCCTTTTTTGTATTCCAGTTCAGTTAATTAATTAATTCAGCAATTCCTTTCCCTCTTTGTTTTTATCTTAATCCTTTAACTTAATATATTATAGCTTTAGATTCTCACCTGTTAACAATCCATTTTTACATACACCTTTATAACATTGCTGCTAAAACCACTTAACTTCATTCTGACATCATTCTAACATTCATTAATTTTGCAGTATTTCTGTAAATAGTCTTTAAATTTCTTCCAATCTTCTTCCACCGACTCTTCTCCCTGGTCTCGGATTCTGCCAGTCATTTCTGCCAATTCCATGTAGTCCATCACCTTCATCTGCCATTCTTCCAGAGTGGGTAGATCTTGTGTCTTCCAATACTTTGCAATGAGTATTCTTGCTGCTGTTGTGGCATACATAAAAAAAGTTCTGTCCTTCTTTGGGCTGTCAACCTCAGTTCAGTGTAATATGGGCCTCCTAGAAGTTTATCTGATGGCTGTTGCCAGCCATGGGCTCTGAGGAATTTCCAACAATGACTTTTAGAGGAAAGCAAGGATCCCTTACTCCCCCACCAAATAACACCGGGCAAGCAGCAGACGCTCTCTCATTAGCAAGAGTTCAAAGCATAAATGGTAAGATTTAAATTTTATAATTATGACAGTATGTATGATCTGAGCGTGGATACCTAGCTCAGGTGGGTAATTACAGATCTTTAATACATAATTATGTTTCTTGGAAACATAATCACCTTCCTCTAACTACTCTATTTTGCAACATTCAGTGCACACGTAATGTAAATTATGCATTTAATCAGAACAGTTCTAATTGGGCCATTTTCAATTCCCTCCCATAAATACAGTTATTCATTAGCTGGGCTTCTAAAAACTTTATGCACTGAGATAATGTGGTTCTGAAAATACGCTTTCCCCGGAATAAATTTAGCTGCACTTGAAGGGGTTGTGTAAGGACAAAAGTGCATCTGTTGAAATCAACTCTCCCTTTAAAATAACAACAATAATTAATAAATTGCTCAAGTGCCACTCTGATTGGACGTGTAAGTTGCAACCTACCTGTAGGAAGCAAAAATCCCATTCAACTTTCATAAAAGGACCAACATGGAGAAGGCATAAATCCATTGGGGATGGGGGTTGTCCTTCTGGTCTGCAACTGTGCGTAGTTTTACCAGTTTTGCAACACACCCATAAATCATCCAGAAAATGCACATATTGGGAGCAGGAGGGCTCATAGTCTAGGGTTAAAGGTAAAGGTAAAGGGACCCCTGACCATTAGGTCCAGTTGTGGCCGACTCTGGGGTTGTAGCACTCATCTTGCTTTATTGGCCTAGGGAGCCGGCGTACAGCTTCCAGGTCATGTGGCCAGCATGACTAAACCACTTCTGGCGAACCAGAGCAGCACACGGAAACACCATTTACCTTCCCGCCAGAGCGGTACCTATTTATCTACTTGCACTTTGACGTGCTTTCAAACTGCTAGGTTGGCAGGAGCTGGGACCGAGCAACGGGAGCTCACCCTGTCGTGGGGATTCGAACCGCCGACCTTCTGATTGGCAAGTCCTAGGCTCTGTGGTTTAACCCACAGTGCCACCCGCGTCCCTAGGGTTACTGCTTGCCAATTTCTTATCCACATGGAACTAACTGTGGTGCTTCTCTCTATACCAATGAAGCTTAGTAGGGGGTTCAGGAAAGTTTGTGATTTTCTGAATATCCCTTAAAAATAAAATAAAATAGTTTTGCCAGATCACACCAAGGTCCGACTAGTCCAGGATTTTGTTTTGAATAGTGGACAGCTGGTCCAATGCCTCTGGATAGTTAAGCCAGGGAAGGAAGATATTCAGCATCTCCTCTTGTTAGTCCTATGTATCAGGTATTCAGATACCTTTCATGGTCACCATAGGAGGTATGGGCAGACATCTTGTCTTAAAGCATCCTGCAAATGACACTAAACTACAATTGGGTAACCTTGCTAGGAGTCTAACTAGGTAGGAGCCATTAAATAATCTTCTACGGAAACAGCTGAGGCTGCATTTGTTGCTACTTCTGGCATATGGCACCCATAGGGCTGAAGATTAGGAACTGGGAGGGATGCCAAGAGAAAAGTGGGGGCTGAATCATTGTCTGAAAGGGGAAGTGGATACCTGTAGAAACTATTTGTACAGTGATTTGCTAAGAACAGGTTGCAGAGTGGTATACAGGGGTTTGAAGTCATAAAACATTATTTCTCATTCAAAAGTTACTGCGTGCCCTCTAGAACATCTCTACTGTTTAATATATGGAAGAAGAATACATATGCTATATAAGAAATATGTAAGAGTGTTGTCATGCTGTGATTTGGTTGGTTACATACAGGTGGCGCTGTAAACTACAGGCAGTCCAGGTGAATTGCAGAGGAATAGCCAGAAAAGACTGTGGCAGCTCTGTTCAGCTCTGCTTCTTCATCTACCTGCCAGTCTTGGGGGCCCTGCTCTTAGGACCATGAGAGAGAAATCCTGAAAAGCTGCTGCCAGCCATTGTAGACAATACTGAAGTAGATGGACCATTGATCTGACTCACTATATGGCAGCTCCTTATGTTCCTATGAGATGGTTAGATGAAAATTGTATGGTCAAAGAGAGCTGGCAATAGAGTTGCCAGCTTTTGGTTTCAAGATTCATGTTTCCTGGTAGGGGAGGGGTTGAGATAAGGGGCCCAAAACTTAGAACAATTAAAGGAGCAGAGCTTGTCAACTTCCAGATTTGAAAATAAGGGACCAGCAGCCTCGAAAACAAGGGATCAGCAGCCAAAATAAGGGACCAACAATTACTTTGATAAAATACATATTTTGTTGCATGGAAATGGCTTTAGCATATATTCAACACAAAAAAACAGCAACAATTTGTTGTTGACAAAGGACAGCTGGACATAGAAAGGGCCCCATTACCTTTAGTAGCTTATTTAAGGGACAGCAGCGGGACATGGCGCTGGGATAAGGGACTGTCCCGCCAAATAAGGGACGCTTGACAGCTATGTGTTGTACTCTGGTGGCCAGCTGCAAAAGCTTTCTGTTTCCTCCTGTGGGTAGCTGTTGCCTCAACCCATGCTTGGATTTTAAAACAAAGCAGCTGACACTGAAGGTGGGTTTATGTAAGCAACTCCTTTAGCTCCCTCTGCCAGGTTAGCACATTGCTTTGGCATCACCACCCTCTTTCCCCATGCTCAACAGAGTCTGTAGAGGCTAAACAAGAAGAAAATGCCTGCACTCCTCATTGAGAGGAGCTGAACAACTTGACTCCTCAGGCCACATAGTTTGAGCATGTGTACCAGTCATGGTTGGTGATGCAGAGCTGCTGACCTAACCTCCCGCTGCTACCCAGCTATGGTGTGCTGGGTGGTGTTGATCAGAGGCAGTGCCAAGGGCAGTGTGGTTTGGCTTGGACAGTCTGCCTGCACAGCATCAGTCTCACTGCTGCCTTGAACTCTCACTTGTCATCTGTCAGGGAGCCAACAGGTGGAGCAGGTTGTTTGCAGGTCAGAGAGAGAGAGAGAGAGAAGCGCATGGTGAACTTGCAGTTAGCTTCTTTATTAAGGAAAGCAAAACAAAGAACACAGAGAGACTTCTAAAGGGTGACCCTGTCTTTCTGTCAGGATGCTGTCATTGGCTCCCGGCTGACTGCCCAGGAAAGTATAAAGGCAAGGAAAAGTTTCTTACTGTCCTTTTTTATTTCAATCTTTACAGAGGAAGGCTATAGAACCCAGCACCTTGGATAATGGCATTGTCCCAAGTTAATCTCCACCCCCTTCTCTCCCATTTTCACATTCGTCATCATCATCATCACCTCCTCTATGGGTGCTACTATGTGCCCTCTGTCTTTAAGCTCTTTGCTCTCCTACTTTTAACGCTCACTGGCTTCGGAGAGATGGAGGCTCTGGAATGCTTTCTAATGTCAATGTGTCAGCCAGGTGTTGTTCTGACTCTCCCATGATTTCCCAACTTTCCACTTCATCTGCCTCTGAGCTGCTTCCTCCCTTAACCCCCTGTTGTAAATCTATACTGCCTTCCTCCTCCTCCTCCCTGGAAGGGTCAGGATGGGGAGGAGGTCTCTACCATTCCTCCTCTGCCCAGTCCCTGATAATTAGTTTTCCTTAACAGTGGAAGCAGGTTTTCAGATTATACACAACTCTTCTTCAGGCTTTGATTATGAGAGCAAAAAATGAATATCCAATAGTCTAGATAGAAACAAATGGGTAGTCAGGCTGATGGTTACTTGGTTGCAGAAGTTTACTGGCCATTGCTGTTGGCATGGAGATAGTCTAGGCTGAATGCAAACATGCCATTCTGATGTCATGTGTGATGTCACAAAGAGGATATGCTTTAAGTCTTGGTAAAGCCAAAAGCAGTCAACAGTCAGACTGCATCTCAGCACTATCAAGATGGATCTCCATAATAGGTGATGAATAGTTTTATTGGGGGGAAATATTAACTTTACCTATTGGGGGAAAGTTTTAGATTGGTTTGCAGGTTGTAACCCATTAAGTTGAGGCCAATAGATAGACATTCATAACCCTGTACCCATCAAATAATCAACTTTATGGGTGACTTTGGGACTGATTTATACAACCACATTTCCTTTCTCAACTCTATAGCAGCTTTTTCCTCTGTATTTGAAAAAAAATAACCAAGAAGGAGAAGATAAGGAACCAGGAATAAGATGTAGATGAGTATGGTAAGGATCTAAGCTTTGCAAGTGAGGGGGCTAGGAAGATGGCTTTGTGGTCCAGCATAGGAATGATGGGTGCTTCATATTATTGAATTCCTGTTCTACAGTCTTTGAGCTCTTTGCTCTCCTACTTTTAAGGCCTGCCACGTTCTGGGAGATGGTGGGACTGGAATGTTTTCTAATGACGACGTGTCAGCCAGCTGCTGCTCTTGCTCTGCCTGCTCCTCCTCTCCCATTATTTCCCATCTTTTCCCCTCATCTGCCTCTGAGCAGTGACCTCCCTCAAACCCCTGTTGTAATTCTGAACTGTCTTCTTCTTCTCTGGAAGGGTCAGGATGGGGAGACGGTCTCCACCACTCCTCTTCTGCCCAGTCCCTGACACTTAATGAAACAGTTGTTTGAACTGGCTTGAAGCTCTTCCATCACTCCTTAATCTTCTGTGTCGGGCCCCTCTCTCTGTGATCTTTTACTGTGGGACTCCCTCTGCGTCTGCCTGGCTCACTGCTCAGGAATATGCAATAAACGCTTCATTCTAGGAGTGGGGCCGGCAAGCTGTCAGCAGAGAAGCTGTCAGAGCGGCTTTAAGGCAAAACTCCAGGGTCTACCTCTCCTCTGTCATCTCTGTCGGTGCCTGCATCCATACTGGAAACCTTCTCACCTTGCCTGTGCATCTCTTAGCTATCTCTCAAGCGCCCTACTCCTAGCATGTCCCAGCTTGTCCCCTCCTCTGAGGTGTGGCCTGTGTCCCGCCACCAATCCCCAGGCTCGAAATCCTCTTCCTCTGCACCTTCCCCGGGGAGCTCTTGACTGGGCAGTTGTCACCACTCTGCCTCATCCAGCCAGTCCCTGGCATCCTCTTGGTACGCCACAGCAATGGTGGTGACAGGAGGACAGGTAAGCAGAACCCCCTCCTGCTGTTGGTGAGCACCAAGTGGAAATGTGACTACTGACTGTCCATAAACAACCCTGGCTTTATTTGATACATTATGTTAACCAAGCTAACATCCCATTTTTACACACACACACACACACACACACACACACACACACATATGGGCAACTGGCCTAAAGCCAAGTTGGACTGTTTCACCGAAGCATCTCATTTTATATTCTTTCAGGATCCCATCATTTTTCTTAGCAGCTTTCCTTTTGCCTCCTATTTAAAAAAACGAGTGCAGCTGAGAGCAGTGCCCTGAATGAAGCTTTTTACTAGTTTCGAAACTTTTGGGGACATTTGCCGCCCTCTTGAAAATGGAAACCTGCAATTAAAATGCAAAGGAATGCCATAATATAATAAAAATGGGTGAGCGAGTTTGAAAGCCACTGCACTTAACTGCTGGGGGTGGAGGTGAACATAATAAAATAAACCTTAAATATTGAGCCGCGCTCTCCAATTGCGGCTGAATGTCAATTGACACCGACAGAGTGAAAATCCAGCGTTCATTAGGAAGTGCTTTTGTGCAATACTTGCCACGAAGAAGAATGCAACTGAAGGGGCACATTCCCATCTGGTGCAAATCAAAGGAGCATATTAGCATTTATTTATTATCAATTAAGGTACCCCACTTTTCACTATATATCTCAAAGCGTCTTGAAGAGAAAAAAAGTAAAGCATATTAGGTTGCATTCGAAGTAGCACTAAGGGGGAAATTCCATTAGCAGAAGGATTCCTACTTCTGCAAGAGAGAGAGACAGAAAGAGAGAGAGAGAATGCACGTACTTTTGTAACCTACATAATTATTTAAAAACAAACAATGCTCTCCCACTCTCCTCCCCCCACAAGTCCCCTGTATTGGTTCTGGGGTTTCCTCCCACACTCTGGAGAAGATATGGAAATAGCAGGGAGCATCTCAGCAGGGAGGAGAGGGGCTGAAGACCTCTTGCACAAGCAATTATTTAGGAACATAGGAAGCCATCTTATACTGAGCCAGACTATTGGTCCATCTAGCTCAGGATTGTCTACATTGACTGACAAAAGTTTGCAATGATTTCAGGTGGGGTTCTCTCCCAGACCTACCTGGGGATGCTGAGGGTTGAATCTAGGATGTTTCGCATGCAAAGCAGATGCTCTACCACTGACCTGCATCCCTTCTCCAGCACTGACCTACAGCTGAATAACACCTAGGCTGGATCTACGCTGACCTGTTTTAACATTATTAGAAAGTTATTAGAGCATCTGAGAAAGGCTGGTGCCAATGTCCTGTACTGCCCAGCAGCTGCCTGAGGCAGTCCCCTCATTTTGCTTAATACTAGGGCCGGTCCTATCCTGCATAGACCTTATTTTTAGTCTTGGAGTCCTTATTCCCAAGGTTCTTTTAATTGCTGATGCCATAGAATCTGGAGCCTTATGTGCAAAGTATATGTTTTCTGACTGAGCTGTGATAATTCCAATTTCTGTATGAAAGTTATCATTGGAAAAACACCTTCAAACGTGGCATGGGAACAGGAGAAAGTCCGGGACTGCTACCCTCCACCCCCCAAGTAAAGAATAAGAAGTTAGCAGGCATGGGTGTCAGGATGTTGTCAGTGGCTCCCGGCTGGTTGCCCAGGAAGGTATAAAGACAAGGAAAGGTTTCTTACAGTCCTTTTTTATTTCATTTTTTACAGAGAGAGGCTATAGAACCCAGCCTCTTGGATAATGGCGTTGTCCTGAGTGAATCTCCACCCCCCGTATCTCCCACTTCCTCATTCGTCATCATCATCATCACCTCCTCTACGGGTGCTGCTGTTGGGTTTCTATTCCTCTCACTGTGCAGATATTGTGTAGGATTGGTTCATCACAAGTCTGTGTTATTTATGTGACGTTAACATATGAGAGTGCTGGAGGTGAAATAGTTAATCAGATTACCCAATCAGGACCCAGGGGGGTGGAGTCAGAGGGACTGTAAAACCAGCTCTGGGAGGGGCAAAGGGAGGAGTTCATGAGGAGTTCGTTGGGAGTTGGGTGGTTGGTTGGAGTGGGAGTTAATTGGGATAGAGTTTGTGGGTAGGTTGAGTTAGTGTAGCAAAATAGGCTGAGTCAGGAACAGTTAGGGGCTAGGAAGACAAGTAAATATCTGAGAGGTGGTTTAGTGAGTGAGAGTGGGTAGCAAAAGTTATAGGTCTAGATAGGCACCCCATGAATGTAATTGACTGATACTGTCTATGAAAACACACGCTTGTTAAACTGCGATAAATAAACAAAAGTTTAAGTTTCAATTTAACCCTGACTGGACTCAGTATTGTCCCAAGTAGGGCCTGGGTAGCGGCAGCGAGACTCCCTAGAGCTGCATGCTGATGGGAGGCACAGGCTGGAAACGTTCCTGTCGTTTGCCTGGGGGTCGTCCTAGCCCCCGGGCAAGCCGACAGCTGCTACGTGCCCTTTGCCTTTGAGTTCTTTGCTCTCCTACTTTTAAGTCCCGCCGGGTTCTGGGAGATGGTGGGTCAGGAATACCTTTTGATGACAACGTGTCAGCCAGGTGTTGCTCTGGCTCTCCCATAATTTCCCAACTTTTCCCCTCATCTGCCTCTGAGCTATGACCTTCCTCAAGCCCCTGTTGTAAATCTATACTGTCTTCCTCTGCCTCCTCCCAGTCTCCGCCATTTCTCCTCTGCCCAGTCTCTGACATTGGGTACAATACAGACAATGTGGGGATCTTGCTCTTTTCAATAATCTGGAACATACTGGGAGCTTATACACACTGCCTGCAGTCTCTTGCTTCTGTAGCAAGCTGTCCTTTCCTATTTGGGAAGCAAGCTGCAAACCCCAGTCCTGCCTCTGAGCGTACACTAGTCTCTCCCAACAAAAGAGACAGCTCTGCTTTTCACCCATGCCTGGGCCTGCTTCACTGTCAGACTTTTGCCAGAAGGGATGGTCAGTTTACCACCATAATCTGAAGCTACGTTTCCCTTTGCTACAGGATGCCCATGGCCCAACCCAAAGCTCCGAGGCTGCCTGAGACCAAACTGTAGGACATGCTTTGCAAAAGGTCAAAATAAAGCTAACCTTGAAGCCCAATGTACCAGAGTTTTATGTCTTTGCAGATTTGCATTTCATGGGCTTGTCTTTAAATCAGGAGCTTTCACTGACTAGCTTGAACGAGAGAGAGAGAGAGAGAGAGAGAGAGAGAGAGAGAGAGAGAGAGAGAGAGATCAGGTTGTTGTTGCAAAAACAAAAGTGCCAGGGACTTTGGAGTGGCGGTGAGTAATAATTTTGCTCAAATTGGAGCACTTGTGGAAAATGTTTTGCTTCAGTCAGGGCTTCACCAAGATGCTTCTCACAGTTGTTTAGCCTCTAAAAGATTATTTATCAAACCACAGGGAAGCTATTAGCCAACTAGAAAAAGATTGTATGCCTCTAATGAATTGGGGGATGAAGACCACTGTTTCCAGTGTGGGGGAAAAGTAGAAAGAAACAGCATAGCTTTTTTTATCCACAAATTGTTCACGGTGCACTCTAAAAAGATAAAATTAAAACCACTAATTTCCTAGTAATTAAAAAGTCTTCACCACTTTCTAGTGTTCACGTGGTTAGTAGTGAGGGCAGCGAGGTGACCTAACTTGTCTGGTACCTGACATCAGGAGGAAGACAGGTGAGAGTGGCTTTGCCAAAATGATTTTGTGGACCCAATTACACCTGTGGACCAGAAGTTCCCCATTTCTGCTTTAGGATCACTTTTCTCAGATTCTCAAACAGCATCAAAACACAGAAACCAAATCACTGCAGTGTATCAAAAATTGCTTATATTTTTAATATTCACACTCATCCTGGGACCCCGCTGAAGGACAGGATGTAAATCAAATATATTGAAAATAAATAATCCCTGATACGTTGCAACGGCTAGTTTCAAACAAACTAAAACACGATTGCATGACATGTACTTGGAAAAGAACTTCATCGGACTCCTTAAAATCATTATGAAGCATGCAAAACTGCCTTCTCCTTATAGCTGAAATGGATTTAACCATCAGGGCCAGCCCTACCATTAGGCAGAGCAAGACAGCAGCCTCAGGCAGCAAAATGCTGAAGGTAGGTGGTGTCAACGATGTGTGACACACACTCAGCATGCCCTAAAATAGGCTGCTGCCATCATGTGCGGTTGAGGATGCTATCCAGTTTAGTGTCCGAGTAAAAACCAACAGTCCAGTTGGTGTACACTGAACTAGGGGTGGTGCCATGTTTTCCTTTGGCGCAGGCAGCAAAATGTCTTGGACCTGTTGACCATTCACAGTGTTAACACAGGGTCAATGCTTCAAGCCTGATTCCTGACTTAATCATTCAAAGGACGGACTGACAACATGGCAGCTTGGCTGATGTGGCTGGCTACTATATGGACAGAGTCTCTATGACCGTATATTTGTATATTGCAAGGAGCCTTTTACCTTAATGAGGATTTGCTCTAAGAGTGTTGTTTATAGCACTCAGAGATTCAATCAGCATTTTAGGTCTCTAGAACAGAATAATATAATGCCTAGATGTCCCACATAAATAACACCGAACCATAAATGGTGTGTACACTCAGAGATTCCAGTTATTTAAAGCATGCCTTCTATCTGGAGCAGTAACTAACTTTATGCAATCTGCAATGCCCAGGAGAGTTGGACGGAAAACTTGATGCCGGCCAAACCTTTTTATGTGCAAATTTGAAAAATGAGAGGTGTCAAATTTCTTTGGCCTAGAAATGCTGATTTTAGGATTTTCCTGTTGTGTTCAGTGAGGTTTGTAGGTTAATTTTGGAGTTAATTAAAGCGTGTGCTCACTTATGGGAGTTACTGCACAGTTCATCAAATCTGCAACTCTGCTCTTAAAAAAAACCCCCAACCTAAACATTTAAAGATAACTCCGAGTTGCTCAAATCACACATGATAAAACTGAGTTTCTGGAAACACCTGAAGGTAAGGTCTGAATTCGTGGGCCAAACTGGACTTAACGTTAATTCTGGGACTGCAATTAATTGTGCATGCTTTATGTAATGCAAATAGCATCCACAAGCAGCATTGGGACCATGGAGGTACATATGTGGGAAGGGATAGTATAGCCCTTTTCCTCCTGTTATGGTCCTAATGAAATCTCTCATCCAGTACTGCTGATTGCATTGGGAGGAAACCTTCCTTAGTGCTACTGGATGGTTCTCTCCTGATGCAAATAGCAGCTTCGGGTGGGGAGTTTCATTGAGGCCGTCATGCATTGATGGCCATCTCAGACAAATTTCCTGAATGACCTAAGGATCCTTGGAGCTGCAAGGATGCTGAGTGTTGTTAAGAAACCCATATTCACCTTGTGAAGCTGCAATTCCCAGAGTGGTTTAAGAGTCAATCCCTCTTCCCAAGGAACTCTGGGAATTGTAGCTCTGTGAAGGGATTGGGGGTCTCATGACAAATTGGGTCCTCCCTTCAAGAGGGCATGTATTGCGGTGAGACCTGGAAGCCGACACCCTGTGTTTTGGGTGAGTATGATTGGTCAGCCACAACACCTGATTGGTAGGTCCCTCGTAGCTGGGTGCAATTTGGCCAATGGGACACAGTCCAAATGGTTCGAGGGACCTATTTATACCCATGCACATGACCCAGAGCTTCCTCTTTTGGCGCGTGCATTCAGAACACCCGCCCACCTCTCCCTACTTTTAGGGTTTTGTGCTTTACCTTGCTATGCCATTGTGTGTCATCTGTCATTGGGACAGGGGCACGGCAGGAATTTCCCCCACTTGGCTGATTGGCTGTTGCCATTTGGGTTTCGCCTGCCGCGTAGCAAATCATCACAATTTGTAAGGTTGCGGATTGGCTCTGGTTCAGGTGATAGGGATGGGAGAACACTCTCACCATCCCTATGTGAAGGGTATTCCGTTAAAGGAATCCAGGGACTTGATGGTTTGGTCAATGCCTGAGAGGGAGTTGTGCCCGTACCTGAGTCCAGGGGGACATTTGGGTGGTGGAGATAGCCTGTTCCCGGCTTTCCGCTTATCCAGGTGTTCACCCTAGGCTGACCTATGCTGGTGCCCTGGGTCAGCGCTACCTGCATGGCAGGGAACTAGTCGAACCAGAACCTATGCAACTGTTCACTTTCTGTAATCAATGAAGTTGTGGCCTAAATTCTGCCAAAAACCAAAACCAAAATTTGAGTCAAGTGTGAATTTATTTAGGGGGGAGGTTTCTGGGTCTGAACACACAACTCTCAGAGCCCTTAACAAAGTACAGCTCCCAGGACTTGGGGGGGGGGGAGGCATGATGGTTTAAAACAGCAAGACACTGCTTTAAATGTATCGTGCCAATGGAAACAGGAAGCATGCTGTATTTTTTTGGTACCAGTCTCATGTTTGCCACAAGGTTATCTCCAACATCAGTCCAGAGACAATGAGCTGGTTTAAAAGAGAATTGAGTAGCTTTAAGGAGAGCGTAGCAGGGCATGGCTGCATCTGCCATCATTTCAGGTCAACAAATTTTGTAGAATTTGTTGAAGAGTCTCCTAAGCAGAGATGACTGTGGGCATGAGTGTGTGCACCGTGGCCAATGATGGGTTTTCTGTAGCATTTTCAACTTTCTGAAAAGGCTGTCATCTTGTCTCCAGCCTGAATATGCCCCCTGCAACCTAGTCTGTCAGGAGACTGGCAGCAGAATTTGCACTAAACCGCAGTTCCAAAAATTGCCTTCAAAGACCAGGCTTCATTTCCTTCCATTGAAAGGCATTGATTTAAAGAGCAGGACAATTTATCCATCCCTTTGCCTGGCTTTTAAAGGATTGATTCCCTTATGCAACTCAGGGAGGCAAGAGAAATAATTAATAACTTAAAGAACTTCATCAAATTCCCCTCTTTCTTCTCCAAACTCACTATAAATATACAAAGCATAGATCAGATGGCACTTTGAGAATGAGGGGATGATTTTTTTGGTTTTTTAAAAAGTTAATTAGTAAAGAAAAAAACACAACCACTGCATTTTAAAGAAAAAATAACTGCTTTTATTTAAAGACGCTTCTTTTCAAGAATATTTTAAACAACAACTATACAGCCTATTAATAATGGAACAGATTTATCTTTTGCGGCCCCAACTATCGCTGATTAAATGAACGAAATATTGGTATGATAGGAAAGTTTAATGAGATCTCATGAACAATTAACAAAAATAGCAATTCCGCATTCTTTCTTTTTTAAAATCCTGTTGGATGATGCACAAGGAAGATTTAGCTTTAAACCGCATGCTGAGAGGCAGAACAAAAGAGGACGGTAAATGCATTTTACTCTTCTTCCTAAAGCCACGATTAGCACTTTGGGATGCTTATTAACACGTACATTGCTTTGACCTGATTTACCACTGCTTCGTATTTATGTCGATGTTTTAAGCAGGTATTCAGCCGGGCACTCTTTCAGCTGCAGTCATGAGCAGTCATCTTCACATATATGGCGTCTTTGCTTAAGGCTACGGGTGGAAGTAATTCAGAGCCAGAAGATTAATTAGCCAGCTATTTGACAAATGCCTGATAAATTCATCAAAATGACAAATCAGAGCCACTCGCTGGTCTCCTTCCATAGGACATTGGAAACTGCATTACACTGGATCCACCTAGTTCAGTTCTGTCAGTAATGACTGACAGTGGCTCTGTGGGGTTTCAGGATGGAGTCTTTTCCAGCTGCACCTTGAGATACCAGAGACTGGCTTTCTGTATGCAAAACGTGTTTGTTGGAGAACAGGGAAGGACCCTCACACCATTGTTGGAAGAAGGTCCACACTGCTGGCCCGGCCCCTGCAACATCTGTTTTCTGGGGAAGGCTGTGTGTGAGTAATTGCTGGTGGGTTGAGATAATAACACGCTACCCATCTGACTGGGCTGCCACAGCCTCTCTGGGCGGCTGCCAAGAAACTATTAAAAACACAATAAAGCACAGAGGTGGAGCGTGGGGGGCACCTTGGGAGTCGTGGCCCAGGGCACAAATTTGTGAGAGGGCAAACAGGTGCCCCCCCCAGCAAGATCCTTCATCAGAGCCTGGCTCCACGCAAGAAGGAGCTGTGCTGTGGTACGTTTAC